ACGAGCATTGTTAACTCGAGTACGTTTTTTCTGGCACTCATGCAGCCCTCTAATAATTATATAACTGATTTTCGATAAGGATTTTCATCGATAAAACAATATTGGAATGAGTTATCTCTTTTTAGTGAAAAACTCGATATACAGGCTGTAAACATACACGGACATTTAAAAAAAAAACATCTCTAGCTCTTATATCTTCTGAGATCAACGCGTTCATACAGACGGACGAACAGACAGACGGACAGGGCCAAATCAACTCAGCTCGTCCCCCTGATCAAGAATATATATACTTTATGGGGTCTGCCTGTTGCATAGATTTACATATGTATGTACATTACATACAACTAAGCCATTATACCCTGATTTCCCATTTTCAATGAGTTCAGGGTATAATAATATATATAGTACCGCTTCCATCAGCAGAAAAATAACTGATTCGAAGCAAACGCTACTCAACAGCCAAGCTGGCTGCTACCAGCCAAAAATAAAAGCTGCCACATTGAATGAATATGGCGAAACAACAAAAACGTTTTGGGCGCTAGCACACTCAGAATTGACTTACACTCGCATATCTGCACATACATACACACCGAAACACAAATACAGAATCTAAATTCATAGCGTTTGACGTTGCTACAAAAGTAGGTGGCCGAAAACCATCGTCAATGAAGCAGCTACAACAAAAGGCGCTCCAATTGCGACTGCAACTGGATGCAGAGTGGGCCTATTCGAGTAGGCGCTTGATTACAGCAATATGAGCTTCAAAAGTGGCAAAAGAAGAGGAACATGAAGGTAAACGGCACAGAAAAAAATGCAATCGAGCAAGTACCTACATCAAGCACACCCACATACACTTGCATAAAGGCTGCGCCAAACGGTTAGCAAATTATAGTGACGCAAAAGTTAAGTAAAACTCATTGTGTAAATCGTAGCCATGAGTAACGGCCTGGCAGTTTGCAATCGCAACTACTGCTGGTATGGAGAGAAGGTGAGTGGTTAGAGCAGTGCAACAGCCACTTGTAAGCATATTGTAAGCATATCAACCATAGAGTTGCACTCAAGTATAAAAGCATTTGCACGACTCGTGACCATTCAAGCTACTCAAATGACGCACGAGAGAGATAATTAAACACTCAACAGATACATATTTCAAAAAGCACATACTAGATTCATTGATTGGTTGGACTACTAAGCTTTTGCGAGGTTCTGGGACTTGGAGAACAATTGAACTGGTGCCGGAAAGACAATGATCTTGCCGCGATTCTTCTGTATTACCACCTCAAAATGATATCCGCCCATGAGCATTGAATGAGCTTCCTGGTCCTTGTACTTCTCGGCAATGGGCAACAAGCTGACTCTTGCGCAGTTGATGTGAATAACTGGTACAGAAAGAATCAGGGCCATCTCGTAGGCAGTTGCCGTTTTCGGGCACCAGATAGAAGCGCTGTCAAATGACAGTTTCTCCTTGGCAGCCAACTCGATCAGTTCCTGGGTGTGGCGGAATGTATGCAGGGTAACCACAGTGCTGGGATGATTAACGCTGAAATAGCTTTGATTGAAGTCGCATACGACAAGCGGTGAACCCTCGACCATGCTGTACTTGAAGCCAATGTCATCAGGCTTCATCATGGCAATCAGCTCGGCGCCCAGGCACTCGGCACGAAGCAGCGCCTTGGAATAGAAATCATGGCTCTTCACCTGACGATGCATCACAGTCATCCGATCACGCACCTTCTCGATCAGCTCTTCCCGCATCGTCTCGTGCACAAACACAGCCCCAATCAGATTCCTGCCAATAGGCTCGTACAAAGTTTGCAAAAGCGGAACGATTGCTTCGTCGATATTCCCATCCTGACACAAGACGATCATGCATGGCTCTACCCATTGGGTGTCGCTTTGATCGCCCGGATATGGTAACTGGCGCCAAGAATAAGCTTGCCTATCCATAAGAAAGTCCTATTTTTAATGATACAACCGCGAGAGAAATAGAATAGCGTAATACTTTCAAAAGATTTTGATCTTCTATTGAGTTTTACAGGGATACAAAGCAAGTGTATTTAATTTGAAAGTTATATGAAGTATTAGGCATAACCTGATTAAGACTCTTTCAACTGCTTTATAAAAGCCAACTTTACTGAACAAAAAACCACATATTAGCAAGAAGTGGCAGTGTGTAACATCCAGTAATTGTTGCTTTTCCTCTTTCTTTCTTAATAATATATGGGACAAATACAAATTTGTTAATAGTATGCTTGACGGAATAAAATAAATGGTTGATATATGGTTACGCCTGCGTAGCATTAGTATTGCATTGTCGTTTGTTGATAAAAAACAACAACAATAAATGCCATAGACTCCTACTTTTTGCACTGCTGCAGCTGAGCTGGATCTCTCCACCATGACTCACTCATTCAAGCTGCTCAACTGCTGAGCGAATTTTTATACCGATTGACACAGCACTGCAGCCTTTAGACACAAATACATAGATTGACAATTACTAATTAGCCACCAATCGATCTTAATCTATCATCAAAATGAGAATCCTATATTCATAAATAGTGTATACAAAAATAAAATTTCAATTTCAATTTATTTCACTCTTTGTTACAGTACAGTTTTTATTTTTATACTCATTCACGAAGTGAAATTCGGAACACATA